TTGACATGACCATAGCGACAACCGCAACGAATGTGTGCTAAGGACTTCTACACTCAAAACAGCATCCATAACGTGGAAGCGGTTATTTTTTGGGCCTCAATTGATGAAAAATTCTGATCCCCTTTCACTCGTATTTTAAAATGAAATGAAAGATACAACACAACAATGTTATCACAGGAGATATACAACAGATCAGTCAAATTCGCTTCAATTCGAGTGAAAATGCTTTGATCCCACCATAAAAAGACGGTGGATTCCTCTTGCTCAGGTGTTGGTTGGCTTCACTGGAGCATTCTTGCTGCCTCTGTAGCTAAGGCAATTTTCTACGATTCTGGAGGAGACGTGCTAACCTTTCATATAAGAGCTATATTCACCTTATTTCGCTTAAGGTGACGAAGCACTGGTACTTTAATTTTCCCACAAAGCTATGCGTAAGCTTCATGTTTTCATCACATTTCACATAGCCTTGCTTCCCAATACATATTCTCATCCAGACTGTGATGGAATTGTCGACGAAGCAAGTTCGATTCACTTTGACCATCGACTGTTATCTATTTTCTGCTTTAAGACCATGTTTTCGAGAGTATCAGAAGATCTGTTATGAGAGCTAAAGTGACCTATGTGGTGCCAAATTGATGATCAGTTGAGCTTGGATGAGAATATATTTTTGCAAACAGGGCTATGTGAAATGTGATGGGAACATGGGGCATACGCATATCATTGTGGGAAAATTTTAATACCAGTCCTTCTTCACCTTAAACGAGATAGGGTGAGCATAGCTTAGCATGACTCCGCCTCAGTTATAGAGTCAAAAGAAATCTATTAACTTTTTCTGGCAGAATCGAAAAATTTTCACCCGCAATGTCTTGATAAGATCTCATCTGCTAGCCTAGTTGTGGTGGCTTTCAACTTGTGTGAAGGTACATAGTAAATAGATTTATTTCATTTTAAAATACGGATGAAAAGGATCGTAAATTTTCCTTTCCAAAGACCCAAAAATGACCGCTTTCGTATTATTAATACTGATTTTAGAGTGGAAGTCCGCAGCACACCTTTGTTGCGATTGTGGCACATGGGACATGGTTATGCCATGAATGGTTGTTTTGGGCTTCCTATTTACCAAAGTATACTTGAATAATGTTTGTATGATCTGAAGATTTTTGTCAGAAAGTGATATACAAAATTCCAATACGGCCTCGCTAGAGGGCAGATTAACAATTTCTAAGCTGTAACTCTGTGCTTACGATGACGTCTTTCACTGACGATGCTGACAAAGTACAAAGAACATTCCTCTGCTCATTGAGTTTCTGTCATAATTACATTACTTCAATCTTATTTTAACTTGTTCTATGTTAGTTTATTTATATCTTCTTGGAGAAAAAATAACCCATTTTGAATATCCCATCTTAAAAGTAAATTTTGCATTCAAGCCCAATAACCTTTTTTTATTTACTCTGTCCTCGGGGCCTCTTCAAACCTGTATAAATGTGATTTTTATGCAAGTGTAAAACAGATTTGTATTCGAAATTATTCTATCTATTATGCTTTAGAAGAAATATTTACTCTGCTCATTGTAACGGGATACCCCGAAAAAGAGCTCATTTCGCAATTAAGTAAAACGACTCGAAGTTGAGAACCACCAGTATACATATTTATCTAGAATCCTTGCGGGCCAACAAATTTAGATGCAATTTATCGGAAAGTTAGCTCTTAAGAAGCCTCCGGCTATGACTGGATCTTCCATCGACTCAAAAAAAGTCACAAACTTGATTCAAAGCTACGTGTTCTTAGTCAATCGCCTACTTGTTCAGATTCCTACTTATTTGTTCTTAAATAAGTATAAAAATAACAAAATAATGGGAAGTTCCAGTGAATATCACTTTCAGGGTGCAGTGCAGATTCGATCTCGCATAGGTTTCACCAACGAGGTGAACAGAGCTTGAAAACGGGTCGGGAGCAATAAGCTACAAATCCACCAATGCCAAATGGTCAAAGGGTAGGACTAATTTCCTTGCAAGCCACTCGAGACATTGCATGGTATTAGTCAACATGCCGAGATTACATTCTGCACTGTCATTGTTCGAGTCCCGCTCGGTGCGTTGATAAGACCTAGACGAGGCCGAAATTGCAGTCCAATTCAGCGTGGATAAAAATACCTTTTGGGAAAGCAAGGCTAGGTGAAATTCATTTGAAATGTAAGCTCAACTAATATCATTGTGGAAAAATTCAACAACCAGTCTCTTTATCATCCCAAAAGAAATAGGATGAATACATTTCACGCATAAATGCAGACGCCCAAAATACCCTCAGAATCGGAGATACTCGAACTGGGCACTCAGACATGCTTGTATACTTGAACCTCGAAAGGTGGTTCTGGCACAGAGGCTGGAGCATGTATTCCAAAGCGCTTAGATTTCTGTCAGATAATGCCGAATTCAGGATGCCGACCTGATGGTGTAGAAGGTACAATAGCGATCTTTAGGTTGCATGTTAGGTTTTATCGAGTCTCCTCAGCATTCAAGGCTCTAAGCCGAAAGTAGGCACAAATACCGACATGTACAGAAAGCGAAGACAACAAACTCAGCAAACGCGAGGCAGGGTCGACGGAGATGGAATAGGGTAGGGACTGCTTTTTCTTTATGCTTTACGAAGACAAACATAACTCATTTTTGCCTCTATTCGAGACGTTATTTAGCCAATTTAAGAAGAGAAGTTGGTCTTCAACGATAATCCTCCTTTCCATATTGTCAGGCAAACTGTTTATCACCTCACAGCGATATGTCCGTTATTACGCATTCATAATGATTCATTGACCTGATAAAAGTAAGAAAGTCATCTAGCCTTAACTTGTCATGCCAGATTTTAGTCTTTTGTTTTAGCTGCTCGGAATGCTTAAAGGGCTTTCGCACTCATACACGCATACTCGCACGAATGAGCAAGATTAAATAAATATATAAATGTACAGGACAAATTTTCCCATGTTTACCAATAGTTCAATATTTATCAGTTTATACGTCGGGCAAGGTAAGGACAGCCAAGTTTAGTCACCATTTTACCTGCATGCATGCATTTGCACACACGTTCATACATACATATATACACACATGCATACGTATGTACGCTAATACACACGGTATGTAAGTACATGATGACATAGGTACGAAAATGCACATAGGCATTCAGGAGGGGAAAGGCATCATTGCTTAGCAATTAACGAATCATCCAGCTTTTCCCGACGATTGGTCGGCGATTGGTAGGATACCTTTGAAAAAAATTATATTTCACTCTGAGATAATTTCTACCAGGTCACGTAACAATGGATTATATTTACATGGGCAAATAATACTTTTATATGCTTTATTTGTAGCTAGTAGGTTTCGATTCCATAATCACTATGAAAGGCCCAGCTTCCCTTGAAAGTCATCTCTGTTAGGTGACCTATTAGGTTACCTGGCAGTCTAACATAATGATAACATGCTGAAGATGGCCCATTAGATGGCACAGTTTCAATTTCTGCGTTGATGAGACCCGGGCACTAACCTCTGAATGGGATTGTCTCATCGAAATTAAGACTAAATGTACTTCATCGGCAGTGTGGGAAAAAATTAATTTATTAGTCTTACATCAAATTATGGGACCTAGGCTTATCTACTGCCTAATAGTAGTATTGAAACTTGTTCAATAAGTAGAAAATTATATTAAATTTTCACCGGAACCGTTGGATCCTGCCTCGATGACCACGTCTGTCTGAACATCGCAGCAACAACGGCAACAGGTTGGGATAAATCCACCGTCGTCTTTTTGTTTGCCTGAGCTACGAATATCTTCAGAACACAATTAAAATCAACAATGCCAACAATCGCGTGGTACGTGACACCACGAGAATAGAATTAATACAATAAAATAACTACTAACTTGCATTTCCCTGCCGGCGATATGAAGTTCAAGGGCGGCTAGCCAGTTCAGTAGCCGGGTTTGAGCTATGCCTGACCGGACAACTAGCGCCAAAAGAGGACATCGCAAAAGCCTGGCAACAAACAATGGCCAACCTGCCTTCCAAGGCCGGTTATGGTACTACTAAACCGGCCCGACCTGACGGGTATCCAGGTGCCCATGGCGAGGGGGGAAGTCGATTGCAAGAAAGCAAACGTGAATTTAAATTCTATAATGCTTTTGGTCTTCCAACCGGTCGTCAGGCCAGGACAATTGTTGCGTTAACCCGGTCAACATAAGACAGCACAACAAAATACGCCATCCAACCATCCACCCTTCCTGAACCAACCTTCAATCCAGTATCAGTCAGCCCAGCCGATCACACCTCCGTAGCTCCGCTCTCTTGGGGACGACTGAAGCCGTCTCTGAGCCTCGACAACACGTCTGGAGACCTGTGAAAGCCTGTACCGCGCCCACCGAAGAACGCACATCGAAATGAAATTTAAAAAAAATAAAGATAGTCTCGCATAATTGTGTACAAAGGCACAATAATGCAGTCACATCTGCAGACAACCATATAGGCATACTCATATTCCTGAAGACACATGCATTCACATGCAAAGACAGACCGAAAGACACACGTACCACCCCCCATACACCCAGCCGCAGACACACACGCACACATAACGCACACAGATTCAGGCATTCAAGCAGATTCAGGGACAGACTGGGCCGCATGTACGGAAGGAAGGCAGAGCAGCATCATAACACCCAACATGGTGAAATAGTCGCATGTGTTTATTCAATCTTGTTTAGTGTAGCTCTTCGCATAAATAGACAGAAACCAATCCAGCCCGAACATCCATAGCCGAATCGGCTACAGATAAACGTATTCTGTTACTGTCGTCTCTCTTATTGAGTACGATAGATAGAGACACACGTGTGCTTGTGTGGGGTGAATTTGTCCCCAGATCTGCATGTATACCTCAAAGCCAGTTAAGTTGCCTACAGAGGTAAATTAATGTGTATACATAAGCTAACAAACGTTTTTCTCTTCATTTCTTTTGCGATCGAGCCGTTGCTGTGGGAGGTCGGGCTGAATGAGCTCGCCGAGGCAACAGAGGATGTGCTGCCTTACAGAAATCAGATAAACATATGAACATCAATAGCGGGGGAATTGAATCGACATTAACATACATACAAGGCCTTGTTATCAGAGTATTCCTGTGTCCAAGGTAAGGGAAGAATGTAGGCCAAAATAAGTGACGGTCAAGCTGAATTCCATGACTAGGCATGTATGTCTCTGTGTATGTGTGTGTGTGTGCTTAGATGGTTGTCACTCAGGCAGGACTGCATGGGGGAGTGAAGGATAAGCTTTCGGCTGAAAGCAAATTGTGGCCAGGCTCACAGAACCCGACTGACTGGTGTCGACAAAAGGCTGTGCCTCTTCACAGCAGGAGGCTGCCGTCTCTGGGTGCCTCTCAGACATGATCACAACAGGCAAAGGTCTCGGCACCAGCGGACTTCACTGCTTCATAGAAGTGAATTTCGGTGAAAGAACCCAAAAGCCTGGGACTAGAAGCCAACACAAGTGGGGCTCATTTTCCTTTTATCTGCATCCTTTACTAAAAGCTTAGCCGACAAATGTGGAATTCCAGCACAAGCGCACAAGCGCACACTCGCACACTCACTAAACCCACACACCCACACACAATCACACGCACCGGTCGTTGAATTGACGAATTCTGCTGGCCTCTTTAGTGATTATCCCCAGGGCTCGGACGTTAAGCTCAACTGTGACAGGAACTCGAGGATTACTTCCACGAGAACAAGGCCCAAGTTCCGGATCGGGTCTTTGAATGTAGAATTACTGGTCAGTCCTAACGATGGACAGAAGATGATAGTCCGCAAGACGGTTCTCCTTTACCGAATGCTCTCGCATCCTCTCAGTTTCACTTCATCAAAAGCATGCCTGCCTGATCTATGCTCAACTAAAATCCGATTAGCTTGGAATATATTTTGGTGTTTTCCTTAAACCGGAGACTTTGTGAATGGGTCAGATATCGTCAATCAATGACTACAAGCGACGCAGCTAATGCATCAGACTTTACCTAAACCTTGATTATACTTTTCTGGTTCCCCGCTCTGCCCAAAAATACAATATTTTCTCGTTACCCTCAAAGCTAGATTAACCTCTGGAAAGAGGACGAGTGCCACTTGCATGAATGCGACAAAGTGAAAGTGACCACCTTCCTTTGGCGTTAATTTGTAACCATATTAAATTTATTCACCATAATTCGTCAAGGTGGTGAAATAAGTTTTCGAGACTGTCAATAGATGATATCGATCTAGGGGATGTAATCGCTTGCTATAGCAAATATACCTTTGCTTCATCGACAATCCCACTACAAAATGTGATATCGGAAAACTCCTGGCCTTCCCTGAAATTCACTTCTGACCTGCCACCCAAGCGAATTCGTGGCAATACAGCACTGTGGATTGACGGTTAACGTGTCGGGGTTGCGCATCTCACTGTCTTAGTTCGAGTCCCGTTGGGGATGTTGATGATACTTAGGCAAGGTTGAAACTGCAAGGCTATATGAAATTCAATTGAAACGTGATGTCTACTCATGGCATTGTGGGAAAATGCAACTATTCTTCTTTCCCCACCTTAACGATATATGATGAATACAGCTCTTATATCAGATCTACTACCAGATCTATAGATCTCAAAAGCCAAATTATAAACGAAAGATTTATTGTCATTTTTTAACTCTCCGGTTGGCTTTTGAAGGATCACGGGGCAGTCTTACGTTTGAACCGACTCCGGTGGTTCCATTCCGAACATACATTCGATGCAGAGGCGGGTTTGTTCTCTGGATATTTGCCTACTGGCATGGGCTTCGTATATGCTGCTTTGCCTTCTATGTACATGTTAAATCAACCTGATGGTGTACAAGATTCACCATCTTTACGTATTCATGCGCCTCTTTCGAATTCATCAAAGTCAACCACACGGAAATCGAATTTCGCAAGCATGTCAAACGCTCTACTTTTGGGAATTTTTATATCATCAGGTAATCTCCAAACTTTACCCAGACAAACCACTATCTGTGAAGAGAAAGTGGTCTTGTAGGAAGTTCTTGGCACACCAGTGCTGACATGAAGTTCATTTTGAGTGAGTATTACTGGGAAGTTCAAGTTGACGAGGTCCTCGGGACCTCTCATAATATTTAGGTGAAAATGTGCTAAGATATTATATTTTAGAGAGATTCCGGAGATGGACCATCGACTTGGTATATTCCCAGGCGTTTATCCGGCATCGCCAATGGGTCCAGCAATTCATAATACCAAGCCACAACCCTTCAGGAAGAACAGTGTTGTTCCCTCCTTAACCAGTGTCATAACTTGTTTACTCAGAACTAGTCCCGATGTAGATTATTTGAACGGACAGATTAAAGGATAATCACACTTCTAGTAAGCTTCTGGAAATATCTTAAGTCCACGATCCGACCCTGCAAACGATTATGAACAATATGGAACGTGCTGGACAAAATACATTTTAAAGGTAGTCCTAACAACACGAGCAAGTTGACGAAAGTGTGTTTAGACATACTATTTACTGCAGCTGTTTGACCTTGTTTTCGCAACTTCGTCATATTGGCTGGAAGATCTAGATGAAGGAAACTTGTCCGGAGTTCATAGTTTGCATGATAATCTCAAGAGTCGGACCGTGGACAACAACTACTATACATTGAAAGGAGACTGCGACCAAAATAGAGGGCACAGCATCTGAGTCTTCTTATCTACGTTTCAGCTGTTTAGAGCTTACTACTTAATTACTTAGCTTCATCGAAATTCGAGCATAATTCTTTCGGACACTAGGTTTTTGCCAGTATTCCTCTGGCATAAAGTTATCTAAAGGGAATCGATGAGCAGCTCTTATGAAAGTGTGGACTAGGCACGAGTCTAGAACACATCTTCTGAACTTTTATATCATAATTTTCTCATTGTGGCAATCCAATTTCCGATTAGCATAGCACTTAAATCGAGACTTTCGTGTAAGCCTCAGAATACCAGTCCATTCGTTAGTAAGAATAGAGTTTACTTGTCATTTGCAATTTATGTATTTCATATATGCACATATTCTCTATAGGTATATATATATATATATATATATATATA